CGACCCCACCCCTGGCGCGGTGGAGAACCCTGAGCCCGGCCGGCGCCATGCAGAAGGCGGGGCTGGTGCTGAGTGCTTGTGCCCGGACGTGGAAATCGGTGCGGATGGCCAGCTCCGGGGTGGCGCGCCGGAACCCGCTTGAGAATAAGGTGGCCCTAGTCACGGCCTCCACTGATGGGTGAGTGCCCAGGCCGGTGTCTCGGAGGCCCCCACTGTCTGCAAACAATTACTAACCCCTTGTCCTTGGTCTCCTCTGCCCCGTCCTCAGGCCTCACACGTGGCCAGAATCCTGCCCAGAAAGAAAGGAACCACGTGGTGGGCCTGCAGCCCCTCAGAAACCCCTGAGCCTGGCCCCTCCATTGCCAGTGCTTTTGTCCCTGCTGCCTCTGGCTCAGCCACGCCACTTGGGTGCTGCCCCCGCCCATCAAATCTCCCAGGGTTCTGGGCTGCCCCAGTCAGCCAAGACCCAGCCTCAGCTGGGTGTGGGACCCAGCCTATCTAGGGTCTGGGTAAACCAGACCAGAAATCCAACACAGTCAGATTTTTAAAATCCCATCCACTGCCTCCTCTGACTGTGGAAATATTCCAGACACCCCATTTTGGCACCTGCCCCCACAAGTCTTGCAGAACTGCACCCCTTACCTAGAGGGGACACAAGACCCATGTGTCCAGGTTTTGGGTTAATTTAGTACCTTTTAGCCTCCCTTACCCAGACTGTTTCTCACTGTCTCTGCTGTCTACCCTGTGCCTCATTCCCACAGAACTTTGCTAGATGCCAGCTCTTCACAAATCTAGAATATAAATGGAAGGGCAATGCTAATGGCTAACAAGTGCAAAATGTGTAAGTCTTTCTCCCAGGGGAGTATGTAAAAAATCTACATTTGTAACTGGAGACCCATAGTTTCACATGTACCCCCAAAATGTAACTAACAATAGAATATTGAAATGATGTACACTAGTAAGGAAGCTATTTGGGGATATGAGCTTTTCTGAGTGAGGCCCTCCAATCATGGAAGTAGCCTCTGCTACACCCCTAGTTCATCTCTCTCCTCTTGGTCCCCATAGTGTATGGGGCCTGTGATCCTTGGTGACACCTGTGGAAGGTGATGTCACTGCCTGGGAATTTACCCTGAGGACCAAAACCATAAGAAAAATAAGTAAACAAGTACCAAAAATGTGCTAACCACGTCTATCTGTGTGGTAATGGCTGTGCCATCAATCCTGTCTAACGCATGGAGGTCCTGTTGCTGAAAGATTGGCCCCCATCCCTGACAAGCCGAAATGAAACTCAGAGACAGAGTCTTCGGGCATAGAAGAAAGGAGATAACTTTATTACTTTGCTGGGCAAAGGGGACTCACAGCAGGCTAGTGCCTTCAAAACTGTGAACCCACCTTGGGGATGGGGCAGGGTGATTATATAACCATAGCCCAAACAATTAATCATCTATAACAATCAACAGAATCATTTTCTTCTCATAAGACTCGAGTGGTGTCATGGTGTCTCCAGGTAACCAGTTCTGTAGATGCTAGTGGTTGTCGCTCTTTTGATCTCTTTATCTTATAAGCACCCAAGGCGTGGTCTTCTTGGTAATTCAGGCTATTTTGTGAGGTTACAGTCCGGTGACTTTCTCCCTGGAGAATGACTCAGAGACCAAGCATGATTACTACTTTCGATTACTGGCATAAAGCAGAAACAGTAAAATTAATAACTTTATTTTAACAATGGGCCTGGAGCTGTGAATAGCAACCGGTCAGTCAGGTTAGTTGACCATTTTAAGGACAAGCATAAGAATAAGCAATCTGTTAGCCTAAGTATGGCCATCTTATTAATTCTCTTTCAGTCCTACAGGAAGAGAGAGAGCTGGAATTCAAAGCCCGGGCAGTCTGACTCAGGAGCTCATGCTCACCCTCTCTTCCTGTTCTGGACTTGACATTCCTCTCTCTCTCTATGCCCATAGGATCGGCTTGGCCATCGCCCGGCGTCTGGCTCAGGATGGGGCCCACGTGGTGGTCAGCAGCCGGAAGCAGGAGAACGTGGACCGGGCAGTGGCAGCACTGCAGGGGGAGGGGCTGAGCGTGACAGGCACCGTGTGCCACGTGGGGAAGACGGAGGACCGAGAGCGGCTGGTGGCCACGGTGAGCAGCAAGGGTATGGGCACAGAGCCAGGAGGTGGCAGAAGGCAGCCAGCCTGAGCTGGCTTTCCTGGACAACAGGAGTGTAAGCCAAGCCAGCACTGTTAACTAAAACATAACAGTGCATTCTGCATACCCACACCGGTCCACTAGCATATTCTTATTGTGTGTCTTTGTGTTCTGCTTTCAAGAATCATCCCGTATCAGTCAGAGAATCAAAAACCACTATAATACTTCAACCCTGCATCATCCTTTGGAGCACCACCCCCCCCCACAAAGAAAAAAATCTGGTCCTAGTTCTCCAGTAATTTCCAATCTAAACACAATCGCAAAATAGGTATTCCCACTTGTGAGCTAATAAACCATCAATCCCTTATTCTTCAGTTTATAAAGTCAAGTCCCTGGGAACCGACACAAGGTAGCCCACCATGTTTCAACCACCTGCTGTGTGCCATTAACTTTGTTCCAAGCTTTACTCGGGCTATCTCTAAACCTGACAACAGCCCAAGCAAGGCAAGGACTATTCTCCCTGAATAGTGAGACTGGTTCAGAAAGCTGGAGCAACCGCCCACTGTCCCACAAGCTAGTAAGAGAAGAGCTGTGAGCCAACCCAGACTTGCCAAGCTGCCTACAGACTACTGGCCATTTCCCCGTTAGCATTTCCCCATCAGGTCAGGCCTTGGGTGCCCACGAGGACTTTAGTCTCAAAGAAAGTGTCTAAGCCAGTGTCAGAGTTGGTACTTGGCACCAGCCTTCCAGCTGCACAAGAAAATATGAACATCTGGCAAAGGAGGCTGCTCTCCCTAGGCTCAGGGCACACACTTTATGTCTTGGAGTGGAAGGGAGAAGCTAGCCAAGAATGAGAAGTAAAAGATTGTGCTAACAGAATGGAAAGTGGCGGAAATAATTGGAGTAATCGTCTTAGACAAGGAGGACGTGAAATGATGGTAGACAGTGGTAATAGACGACAGCATAAGGTTATTCCATTTGTAGGGAACTATTTGGCAGAGGCTCAAATGTGCACTGGCTCCAAGAAAGTCACCTTGCCTGGCACAGGCTGCTGCACAGTGCCTGAGACTGAGACCTTGATCCTCAGAATGAAGAGAGCCATCTGGGATCCTGGGCCGACTAATAAGCTACATGGAAATGTGTGTAGCTACTTAATGTCAAAATCCTGCCAGAAAAATGACCTCTGGTCCCTCACCAGTTCCACTTCATCCATCCTGCAGCCCTGGCCCAGAAGTGGGGTCTGAGCTAGACCTTGAGGAGTAGGTGGGACTGGGCAGATGGCATAGGGCCAGGATTCCGGATGACCCTGCAAAATGAGCAGACAGCCAAGGAGGGACGGAAGGGGAGAGGAGAGCGCTGTGAAGCCTCAGCAGAGAGCGCAGGTGCCGGAGCGCTGGTGGGAAATGTTCCAGGTAGGACGGATGGGGGACAGGGGCCTCCGCGGCCTTCCAAAGGAGTTTAGACACGTTCTTGGAGGAAATAAGGAACCATGTGAGGTTTTGAGCGAGATGAAAATGGTTATTGAGAAAGATAAGCTAGCACTGGTAGGAAGGTTGTATTGGACTAAAGAAGATTCCAAGCCAACGACATCAGCGAGGAAGCTGATGCTGTCACTTAGGTCTAGAGCAGTGTTGTAGGACCAGAACAGGAAGGCCCAAGAGACATTTAGTGGGAACCAACCAAGATTTTTTTTTTTCCCTAACCTGATGCCAGGAAATGGGAAGTACAGCGATGAATCAAAAATGACCCTCAGGTAGTTTGAATGACTAGTGTCAGTGGTGAATGATAGGATACTTGTTAGCAGTTTGAGATGTGTTCTGCCTCTTGCCAGCTGTTACCCTGTGATGAGGAAAGCTGCTGCCCTGAGGATGGTTACTCCCCAGTGGCCTCCTAATCTGCACTTCGAAGCTTGCCAAAGGCATCGTGAGCCGGAACCAGATTAGCCGCTGCTCCACTGGATTCTACTTTTTCTTAAAAATAGACCTGTCAGAACACAGAGCAAGCAACTCTTAACTACTTTAGGGTAGCAATCACGCAATCTAGAGCAAGACTTAGAAGACACCTGGATGGTCAGAGTACCTTTGCCATTAATCTTCCATGGTTCTCTGTCTCTGTTCAGTCCAAAGCCAGTCTTCTCTCCTCTCCACGCTCTTAGGCCTAGAAAGAGAAGGGGACGGCAGCAGTGGAAAAGGGCTCCAGGTGGTTCGGCTGCGGTCCACCATCTTCCCACCCCCAAAGACACATGCACGGAGCCCAGCACACTTCGCTTTCTAATGCATTCTGCACTTTCCGCATCAGAATTCCGTGAGACTTAGAGCCAAGGCGGGTGTCTGGGGCTTTGTGCTGGGACACTAAAATTTAGAGAGTGCAAGACAGTATTGATACAGGTTTTAAGAGATTATGTGATTTTAAATTTTCTTAAATTTACATGTTGATAGCCCAGGCATTCCCTCAGTAGTGTGGAAGCAACTGAGCTTAGCACCTAGTTAGCAAGAATAATTAGTTAAAAAACGGGAGCTAGCAGATGGTACGCATTGTTAATAACACCCCTCTGTGTGCCAAATCGCGAAGCACAAAGTTGATGGAAGGCCCATTTACTGTTGCTTGCCCAAGGCATCAAAATTGCCAGTTCTGGGCAAATGTGAAGTCTGGTTTCAGGGTGGAGTGTATTGTTGGCAGGTTCTGTTTGGCTACTCATTACTCCAGCACATGCCTTCACCACCTACTTACAATGTATTAAGGAGGTGAGATGTTGCCTTTCTTAGTTTTCCCAGCTTAATCCCAGTTTCTGCCTTGAATCTTCCATACCTCCAGGTACCCCCCCCCCAAAAAAAAGCAGGTGGAGGAGGGGAGAAAATGACATCCTCACTGAGTGTGGAGCTGCTTTAAGTCTCCTCCATCATGGCTCTCCTGGGTAGTCAGTTTCATAGTGTTGCAGGAAAATGGGACACAAGAGGATGGCAAGTCCCTGGGACACTCCCCATCAAGTGAGCATCCTTGGCTTTGCACATTAAAGAATCCAAAAGCAAGCCAGAGTGAAGTGAAAGCAAGTGTATTTAGAGAGATACACACTCCATAGACAGAACGTGGTCTGTCTCACTCAGAAGGGAGAGTGGCCACGAGGTATGCGGGTGATTAGCTTTTATGGTCTGGGTGATTTCATATGCTAATGAAGGAAAGGATTATTCCAGCTATGTTGGGGAAAGGGAGAGGGTTTCCAGGAACTGGGCCCCGCCTACTTTTTGGCCTTTTTCCTTCAGCCTGGGTGCTGTCATGGCACCTGTGTGCCATGAGCCTCAAGGTCTACTGGAAGTGGAATCTTCCACCATCTTGGTTCTTAACAGTTGACCTATCCTCAGTTGCTGTGTCATTCTTTTAATGGTTGTGCCCTGCCCCGTCCCTCCTGTCTCAATAGTGGCCCTGACTCTCTCTTGAGGACCCTTATATTAGCTCTGGGTTGGAAAGTAAGTTCTGCCACCACTAACTAGCCTTGTGCCCTGGGCAAATCACTTCACTTCTTCCAAATACTGAATGACCAGGCCTCCTGTTCTTAGTCGGCCCTAATGGATCATTACTGGGCCATATGACCTTGAGAAATTAACTTCCCTGGACCTCAGTTTTGTCACCTTCATAATGACTTTGGGGTAGATGATCTCAAAGGCCCCTCCCAGTAGCAATTTTCTATGGGTCTATTTAAACTCATTTCTCCATTCAGGTACATGTGGACAGGCTGAGTTTGAGATAATGGTAACTCATTCAAGGAGAACTTGACAGTAAGCATTTGGAGAAATGGGGCCGGGACTCAGTGTGAAAAGAGGAAGGGTCTAGAAATGGATTTTGAGGTGAGACCTGAAGCCATGAGAATAAAGGTGCTCCCAAAAGGGAAAGTCTAAAGAGCTAAGGGTCAGTGACAGCCTTAGAAAAAGCAGGGGCAGCAAGAAAAGACTGCAAAAGAAATTAGATGACTTTAAATGTTTTAGCAGCAGAACTTCGGGTACCTTTGGAGAAAAAGTGTTTTAAGGAAAAGAGGTCATTTTGACAACTGTTCCTAAGAAGGAGTTCATTATCGACATTGATAAATGCACACCCCCTCTTTCCGGCCACGCAGCCCTAATTCAGACCTTACTCCTCTCTAGGCTGTGAACCTTCATGGGGGCGTGGACATCCTGATCTCCAATGCTGCCGTCAACCCTGTCTTTGGAAACATAATGGATGTCACCGAGGAGGTGTGGGACAAGGTGAGAGGGGATGGAAGTATCAGGGGGCAGGCCTCAGAAGACAGCACACACCCAGTCTGCTTTGAGAATGCATTTGTCAAGTACAGTGTAAATGTGAGGAATCCTTGCAATTTGCCACACACCTGGAGTGCACCTGGTAAAGGGGGAATCAGGGGAGGGCTGGCTTCCTCTGTCCCTGCCCTTCTCTTTCATTTCTGCTTCTCCTCAGTTCTGTCTTCTTCGTTTTCTCCTTGTTTCTTTGCCTCCCTCCCCCAGCTCTCTTCCTGCAGCGGGCTTATCCAGGCTCTTCCTGATTTATTTCCAGCAGACATGGCAGCTAATATGCCCATAACTAAGACACTCAGACTTATACACCATCCCTCCTCTTTTCAGCTGCCAAAAAAGAATGATCTTTCATTAGTTGGAAAACTTTAATAACTGCTAGTTAAGTGAAATATCAGTTCTGGTGAAATGCGCTAAGTTGCCACTTTATAATATACAGCCTTTGAAAAAGACCTGCTCTCTTTTCTTTGTAACTCTTATGTCAAGAAAATCTGACATCCAGCTGTTCAGGGGCCAGAATACTGGTTTTTGTGTGAGGGTGTATAATTACTTTACATTTATAATATATTTCACACACCTACATTCTTTAATTATAAGGCCTTAATTAAAATATTTGTCTTTTTTACTAAGGTTAATATTCCTACATGATTTGGAAATGCTCAATTTTTTATGATCTCCCATAGTTTTGCTTTTTTACCCTGATGTCATCAATAATTTCTCGACGCTAAAGTTTAAAGATACTAAAATATTCTAGTTCGTTTATCAGTGTTTCACAGACAGAGAGACCAAAGTGCCAAAATGCTCTTCAATGAGTCAGTTCCTGATTGATATTCTTTAAAGCAGAGAAACATCTTTCATGAGGAGGTTGAATAGAGACCACGTGAAAATCAGTTATAAACCAAGTCATTTTTCTTTTTACTTGGCTTTTTTTAAATATCACAGTCTATCAAATCTAAAGGCAATGGTTGATCCTTGATTGAACCTTGGACTTTTAAAATAAGGACATTTGGGGGACAATTGGGGAAATTATATTATGGACAGTAAAATCTTTATCAATGGTAGGTTCCTTGGGTGTAATGATAGACGGTGGTGTGTAAGAATGTCCTTATTCTTTGGAAATAATGCTAGAATATTTAGGGCTAAAGCATTAGAATGTCTGCAACTCACCTTCAAAGGGGAAGGAAAATCTGCATACATACATAGGGCAAATGCAACAAAATGTGAACAACTGGCGGATGCAGGTAAAGGCTATCTAGATATTCATTGTCATTCTATTTCCACTTTTCTGTAAGAGTGAAATTTTCCAAAATAAGAAGTTGCATGGGAAGTGTAGGAGGGGACTCTCCCAGCAGTACCTAGAGCAATGTAATCAAGGGTCATGCATTTGTTTTAAACTATGGATGTGGGGTTTTGATTGTAGACTGTATCCGAGCTCTCCCAAAAATACTTACTCTCGATTCCACTTGTCAATAAATGTCCAGCCAGACAGTCCATCCTGGAGGGCCGAGAGCATCTTGCTCCCTAAACTCAGAAGCCAGAAAAGTGCTGGAACAACCCCAAGGGCCTGAGGTCAGGCCATGTTTTTTCTGAGAAACACGGCCTGCTCTGGGGCAGATCCAGGCAGCCAGCCAGCCCAGTTCCAGGCTCTCCCTAGTTGGAAGACATGCAGAAAATCCAGCTCAAAATCAAGGCAGCCCTGGGCATTCGGGTCCATTCTGGGCCAAATCATACTTAGCTGGTTAGGAAACAAAAGGAACCAGGCTCCGTTCTCTCTCCCTTGAAACCTAATGTGTCATCTTCTAGCCGAATAAGCTGGGGAAAGCCACCTCTCCCCGGGCCTTGGTTTCTTCACTCGTAAGGTCAGGTAAACCATCTCTAAGACCTCCACTGGCCCTATGAAGAGAAGCCTATGACCCCCACTGCACCTCCCCATCGCCCTGCCTTCTCCAGCTCCCTCCCCTCATGCTGTTCCTGCTCTTCCCTCCATTTCAGATTCTGGACATTAACGTGAAGGCCACGGCCCTGCTGACAAAGGCAGTGGTGCCAGAGATGGAGAAACGAGGGTACACAGTGAGAGGGAGCTTGGGTGTAAGGGGCCCCTGTGGGCTGAGGGGAAGGGTCTCCACTGGGAAGAGGGTCATTCTGTTCTTTTTCCAGAGGTGGCTCAGTGGTGATCGTGGCCTCCATAGCCGCCTACAGCCCATTTCCTGTAAGAACCTCCTTCTCTGCTACTTTCATCCCTTCCTCTATCTTGTACCTCCCGCCCTTCCGGTCACCCTAAGAAGTTTGTGTCCCCTTTGGGAAATCACACCACCAAGTACCTTCCCCCAAAATAGAGGCCTTGCCTCCACAACCCCTAACCAAGGGAGGTTTCATCACAAGACAGTTTTCTCACTGGGACCCTCCCTTCCAAGAGATACTCTATTATCTGTTGCCCTTTATATCTTGTTAAGAACCAAGAATGAACTGGAGTTGAAAAGACTAACCCATTCTCTCCTTTACCCAGGGCCTGGGAGCTTACAATGTTAGTAAAACAGCGCTGCTGGGCCTCACCAAGAACCTGGCCAGAGAGCTGGCCCAAAGGAACATTAGGGTGAACTGCCTGGCACCTGGACTCATCAAGACTAGCTTCAGCCAGTTGGTGAGAGAGGGGAGGCCTGCTTCCCGCTGGGACCCTAAGGGGTACCTTCTCAGATGGGGAAGCCCAGCACCTGGGTCCTGAGCTCCCAACCACTTCCGCCCCCCTCCCTGGGCTTTTCCACATCCACGCTGCATACGTGTCCAGACTAGACCCCCACATGACCCTTTCTTGAGGTGCACAGTGAAACTGGGGAATTCAGACTTGACTCAGGCCATTTCATATCTCCTTAAGTGGATGAGACCTGGGGCCACCCAGCAAAATGCCTCCTTAGAACCTGAAGAGAATGAAGCAGAAGAGGGCGGTGGACAGAGGCTGGGAGCTGGGAAGGACCAGGGAGTGAAGTGGGCGGCTCTCCATCCTTCCTCCCCACAGAGGGCAGGCAGTTTCTCCCCACACTGTCCCTCACAGGAAGAGATTTCTCTTTTTCCTGCAGTTGTGGATGGGCAAGGAAAGAGAGGAGAGCATAAAAGAATTCATGCAGATCAGAAGGTAAGGCTTCACAGGGGAGGGCCGGGAGGGATAACGAAAGGGCTGGTCTCTCACAGCTCACAGCTCACCGTCTCTCGGGCCCACAGACAACACAGGCATGCTCTCCTCTACTTCAAACACATAGACCTCACAAGTTCGCAAACACTGCAGCACTACAGTGAGGGAGCAGGGAGTCTGCTTCCATTGCCAAAACTAAATGCAGAGGCATCCAGGGTTAGCAGAGCAGAGCCCTGGGGGAGACCCTGACTCTTCTCTCCACCTGGGTGTCTGCCTCCACCTCTGGGCATCCCAGCCATGAGGGACAAAAACCAAAACCAAAACATGCTTTTTTAGTCCCCTTGAATAAAGAGTCATGTTTCCAACGCTCAGGCTAATGATCCTACAATCCAAAGAAATGGAATGAAGAGCTTTACTAAGTCCCCAAACCCCCCTTGCCTAAGAAAACTAGCTTCTTCTCCAAAGGGTGGGCTGAACTGTTCAAGCACCTTCGTCTGGCTCCCTTTCCTTCTCTAAGTTCCCTGCCTTCCTCCAGCTTCTGGCTACTGGGAACTCTCTTGTCTTTAGCTCCTCCACCTTGTCCCCTCAAGGACATATGTCAGCAATGCCTCCTTAAGAAGGGAGACCCCAACAAGGGCTCCCAAAGCCATTCTGATGTCAAGCATGAGCTGCAGGCCTAGTTCACAACTCATTAATAAGTTGGGGAATCCTAGACCCCCAACTAATGATCGATCTCCGTGCTTCTCAGTCTTGGATGCACATTAGAATCAGCTGGAGCGCTTATGAAACCACAGATGCTCAGGCCCCACTCCCGGAAATTCTTTTTCAATTGGTCCAGGGTAGGACCTGGACATCTTTTGGAGGGTATGGGGCAGTGCTGAGGGGAGAAGTGAAGCCTCCGGGATGACTACCGTGTGCAGTTTGGAGGGAGACCCACTAATCCAGGCCTTCTAGGTTTGAGGTGCCCACTCTACCCACCTCTAGAGCATTCCATGGCAGTCAGGTTAAAGTGTTCCCTAACTATGCCATCACTGGTACGAACACTGAGAATTAGAAAATCTCACAAAATGAACCTGACTTTAAGGGACAAAAATAGATTCCTGGAAAAGTTGTCTCTGAATTGAAGCTGTACAAATGGAATCATTTGAAACAAACCATTGACTGTCTCACAGACTCCCTGACACTTGAATAGTATGCATACATGTCAAGCAGATTCTTTGGAGAATGAAATAGCTACTCACCAGTTTATCATGTATAACTTTGGATTTTGATGTCCTGAATTCTCTGAAAAACAAAGCATTTCTATATTGTATGAATATAATATGTAGTGTTTTTTGCAAAGTATTTATGTTTATACTAGATTATAAATAACAGCTTATCCTCGTGGTAATGCTATTTGATAGGCAGTAGCTTGTACACTAGTCCTGAAAAATCATCTGATACTTTCTGATTAAGCAAATTTCATTCCCTGTTTGACTTTTAGTCTCTTCCTTGTTTCCCCTCCTGCCAGGTTAGGCAAGCCCGAAGACTGTGCAGGCATCGTGTCTTTCCTGTGCTCTGAAGACGCCAGCTACATCACTGGGGAGACGGTGGTGGTGGGTGGAGGGGCCCCTTCCCGCCTCTGAGAACCTGGAGAGCATCCACCAGGGCAGAGATTGGGCTCCAACTCCTGGGTCCTGTTCCAGTATTCATCAACTGGCCTTTCCCACCTCTGCCTAGCATACTGCTCACCTTACACCATACTCCCCAAAGTCAATTCTGCCGTGTAAAAAGATCCAGTGTTCTCTGCGGTCAAGGTGTGGTCTTATGAGGATTCCCACAGTTGCTGTAGTCTTGGATAAAGGCTTCCCCTGAGAGCACAGGACAGGCCTGCTGTGAGGGCGGAGTCTGCCTTGTCGAAACCAACTAATTTTTTTTTTTCTGGGCATCAGGGAATTGAGGGCGATGAGAGAGAAGGAATCAGGAGTAGATGAAACAGGGTTGAAAATTAAGAACTTGCTGCAAATGAGGTGCAAATAAAAATGCAAATGATCATATTGCTTTGAATCAGTGTGGTTTTTTTCAGTGTAGGGTGCATAGATGTGGTAGCCCAGCAGAGAGCATTGAGTGGACTGGATCCCTCTAAGATCCCCCGAGATCCTAAGTCTGGATCTTCCTGACCCTCCTCCCTGTCTCCAGGACCTAAGCGTAATGCAAAGGGGTGGAGGTGTTTGCAGAGCTGCCAGCTGGAAGGAGGTGGCAAGGGAATTCCCAGGTGCTACTCTCGGCCTCACACCCGCAGGGATGGTGCCAAGGACGCCGCAGGGATCCCCGAGGCTGGGCAAGCGGGAAAGGAAGGACGAACTCCCCCAGATTCTGCCAGGTCCTCTCCCGACATTGCCCTCGGCCGCGAGTTCCTTCCTTCGCGGGTCAGC